CTAAAATATTACTCCAGTGAACTGTCAAGTGGCGCAAAACTGTAATATGTTTGTGAGCCATAAAGTTAGTCAGGCACTAGGTCGGTTTTCCATTTTTCTCCATGCCATTTCTTTTTTTTCTTTTTTGTCTTGTTTGTGGCAAATGCAACAAATGGCTCCTGTTGACAGTTTAGTTGACAGCTCGGCTAGAAATATGACAGCTCCGGCTGGAGGCACACTTGTTTCTCGGCGAGTGTGGTGTCAACAACTGTCCAGCGTCTTGTTTAAGATGCGATAAGCAAAAATGTGGAGACGGAGCTGTAATGTCTCCCCGAGAACCATTGCTAAAAGGCCCAGGAAAGAACAAAAAAAATGTGACAAAAATTGATGTGTGTGTTACACACACAAACATTAATTAGCATATTTAATTAACTGAGAACGACAACTGCGACGACGACACTCGACCAAAATTATTTATACATTTTCGTTTGGGTTGTATCATACATGTTCAGGTATTCTACACAGTCAAGTGGCGAGACCCTAACGATGATGATGTTGCCGCTCGACCCTGACTTTGACTTCCCTTCTACCCACAACACCACAGTCGTCAGTCGCCAGTCGACCTGAAAGCCAGTCACGTACCAAACAGGCATCCCAAGTACATGTACAAGGGTCCAAAACACTTCTAAGCACTTGGCAGAGGACTGGTCCCCCAACACACACAGCATGCCAAGCCAAGGCAAGTATTTTCATCCCAAAGAGTTGGCGGAAAACCTTGAGTTTGCTCTGCCAAAGAACAAGCAGCTCTCATTCACCGCCAGCAACATTTTCCATTCCCATTCACAGGGGCTCCCCCCCCTAGAAAACACTCAATTGAAACTGACACACGGCGCCAGCAGGAAACAAAACTCACAAAAAAAATATACCATTTCGCCTTGAAAATGTTTTCATAATGAAACACAACACACATAAAAAAATAATGCCAAGATAGGTATGAAAAATCTGTGTTGTGTTTTTTGAAAATGAACTGCATGTCCCATTGTAGAGAGCATAATAATAATTCCTAAGATAGTCAGTCAACACACAATGGATATTTCAACGGGCACGTGCTTGGGAAATCTCACGAATGAGATTGGAATGAGCAGGAGGAGTAATGGTAGGCTACTGTGATGGAAGGATGCCCAGTTCATCAGAGAGGCACAGCCTTGAGCTATATTATCTTGGACTTGGAGAAGCACCAACAAAAATATATGATATAAAGTCCAATTTGACAAGGATTTCCTTCAACAAATAACTTAAATTCTTGTGTGCGGTATACAAATTAAATTCATGTTTACCTTTTACAAAACAAAAAGTAATCTCTTAAAATCAATATCTTTTCCAAGATGTAACCCGCCACAACATTTTCTCTTTCCCAAATATATATTTCCATAAATAAATTCCATGAATATCGCGCTCTGTGTTCTGCCAAGCGCTCAATAAAAATCATTTAAGCATGAAATTTATGCACATCATAGAACAATGTCAACACATCTTCTTACTGCTTTTCTCTCAATAGTTATTTGTAGATTGTAACTTTATTTTTTAAAGCGGATTTTAAGCGCAACTTTACGCAGTGTAAAAATTGCGAAAAATGGCATTATGCAAAGTATCTATCGTCACGCGTCATTGAGCTATGGAAAACAATGGAGAAAGAACTGCAGGCAGAGGCAAAAGGACTCGTCAACTTTCGGAAAAAAGCGCATTACGGGCCTGGTTGGAGGGGACGCACAGTACAACAAAAAATATACAACGAAATCGTTTTTATTATACATTTTTTTTTTGCACATAAGACCCGACCTTGACCTGAAAAATTGCGCCAGTGCGCTCTCAGTCGCTCTCTGGCTTCGCCATCTGCATGTGAATGGGCCAGCAGAAATATACGAAACCTGAACATGTTGTTATTTGAGTTTAGTTTCTGTTCGGTTCTTTGTTGCACCCACTTTGCACACAGATAGAGATACGGATACAGATACAGATACAGCCGGAGCACAGCAGCAGCAGCAGCTTCAAAGATACACAGATACATAGATACAGTTGCAGCATGCTTGCAGTTATTGTGTGGGTTGCAAATGTGGGTCGCGGCCCGAAGCTTCACTATGCCGTGCTTTGCTTTGCTCCCCTTCCATTTTTCCCTCTTCTCATTTTTTTCTTGTAATAAATTTTCATGACTTTTCCTCAACTTTGCTTGGCTTTTGTGGCATCATCTCACAGCTGTAATTGGCGCCAAATATTGCTGCCAAGGACGTTAACATTTGCAAAGCGATTTCATCACGTAAGCTGGGTGTATAAGAAGTCTGATGAAGGCTTTAGTGACGCATCTATAAAAATCCTATTGCATTTTCCAGTCTTTCGTTGAGTGCAGTTTTTTTTACGAGTGAGGTGTTAAACTAAAAATTTAAGGATTTTTTATGGGTTCTATAAAAGGATTGGATTTATTTGACGACACAGTTCTTGGGGAAAATATTGATGTTATAATGAAAATTTACTCTATTAATTGGTGATTTTATTTTATAATTATTCCCAAGGATGTTGAATATAGAGTAGAAATTTAATAAATTAAGAAAAATTAAGATATCATATATAAATTTTATTTTAAATAAAAATGACATAACATTAGAGTCACTTAAATATCATTCTTCTGAGTGAGATAATTTAACGATGACTTAATACAAAGACTCAATTAATTTCCCTGCTCGATTAAGTTTCGTAAAAAGCAATTTCCTCAGCTAAATTATTTTTATGTTCCATCAGTTTAATTGATTTATCATTCAATCATAAGTCAATAAATACACAAAATACCCATCAATATATTAGACAATTAAACAGACAGAAAAAAACAAAAGAAAACAATTAAACAATAAAATACCGGCAAAAACCGCTCTAAGCCGGCTGAGTTCATCAAGATTCATTTACTCAAAGTCGATAAAAGAGATGCACAAAATGCGATCAGCTTATAGGGAAACGTCGATTAAATATAGCAACCATAAGTTATTTTCCTCTCTCTCTCTCTCTCTCTCTCTCTCTCAGAAAATGATGATGATATTAAGCAGTTTAAAACAAATTATCAGCATAAAAGATCTCAAAATTAATGGTTTTTTGTTCGATCTATATTTTCCCTGGGAAGTAACCAAAATTGGATAAGTGGCATTCAAGCGAATAGAGAGATCTAACATTTATATACTATACATATATAAATATAGAAGTTGATAATATTTTTTAAGGGGTGTGGTTGGTGGTTTTGTTTCCTTCTCCACCCCCACCACCTCCCAATTTGTGAGGTCACCAGTCGAAATATTGCGTATACGCAGCGTTGACGTGACGCCATTTTGGCTGGCAAAACGATAAGCAAAACCAGACCGAAAAGCCCAAGGGTATTTCACCGAAAAGCGTCAAGGAAATGAATGAAAATCAACTTTCAAGTAAAGGTTGCGTAATCAAAAGGGGGTGGGCAATGGGAAGAACTTTCGCTGGTGGGTAATTTTTTTTCTATGGTTTTAGCCAATTCGTGGGAAATGCTACCACAATACGGCAAAAATATATACACAACAACGAAATAAGCTGACAACCTCAAATGGTCTGTGTAAGCAAACAAAAACAACAATGATTCGTTAAGGAAAACACACACACATAAGCCCACAAGAAGGGAAAGCAGCACCAACAGCAGCATAAGAAAATAAGAAAGAAAAGCTGAAAAATCAATGAATTTGTTGACGTTTCGCAAGTAAAAAAAATGCGCCCTCAATCATGTTTTGCACAATTAAACATTTTTTGCTCTAAGCTTCTAAGGGAATTTATTTACAGTTTTCCCGCTGGCTTATAGCTTTCCCCTATTTATTGATTTCTGATTAATAGCCATACATTCAGCGGGTTTGGACAAGAAGGACACATTTATTGGCCCATTAAGGACACCGTGACATTGAAGGCAAAGTGCCAGTCAAGGCGATTAAATGTTTGCCTTTCCCAATGACTGCCCTTCATATGTACACGTCTGTCTCTCTATTATTTGTACCCGTCTCTGCCTCTCCTAGTTTTTCTTTATTAGTTGTGAAGTGATGGGAACTATACATATAGGGATATTTTTTTTGGGGTTGGTTTCTACCAGTCTCTAGTATCTAGGTTTTTGGGGTTAGCCGAGGGAGAGAGACTAACGTTATGTGGGTTTATTTGGGAAGTATATGGATATCTAGTTCGTTGTAAGCTTAATTATTGTGATTAAATCAAAAGTAAGAGTAACTAAGCATAGATAATAAGAAGGTTATATGTAACTCTTTTAATCATTTTAGACTTTATATTTGCAAAATATAAAGATCTATAGAAGATTAATTTAGGTTAAGGTAATTAAAATATGTTTAGACGCTTTAAGGAATATTATACCAATAAAAAATACGATTTTATCGTAATGTCAAGTTTAATAAATCCTAAATAAATACACGAAAGAGAGCTAGAACTAGTTCATGGACATATATTCAACCTACTTCTTGGGTGGGGTTAGATTTGTATCTAAAAGTCAATTCATTTGATGCTTTCTACTACTTGTACCATATATTCTATAGCTTAATACCTCAATTTTCCTCTACTTATCCTTTCTCCATCCATATCCTTTCTAGTAACTATTTCACCACCCCACCAAGCACCCAAGAAGTTGACCTCACCCAACAGCTAAAATTAACACAATTAGTTGAAATACTCAGAATGAACACTGTGAAAACCCCCACAGAAATGATGTTCGTTTAATGTTGATTAGATATAAGTCAAGGGATGAGGATTTAATTTCTTTTCAATTAACTTTTACAAATTGCATAATTTGCAATTAATTTTTGTTGTTTAGGTAAATTTGATAAATTATAAAGTCAAAACGTAACATAACAAAACGAAACAACAACCGACAACAACACAATTAAATGTAAAAAAACACACTTAATTAGAATTTAGTTGGGTGACAGACATTACCTTTTAATAAATATATTTCCGTTATTAAAAGCAATTTCTAAATTGTTTTTGTTTTCCATGAATGAAGCGTTTCTTTTATACGCCGCTGTCACTGAAGTATGTTGAATATTATAAATTAATTAATAATTATTCAGAATGAACACCAAACAAATGGGCGCGAAATTCTGGAAATTATCTATGCAGTAAGAGTGAGCGAGAGAGAGAGGCAGAGAGCGTTGGTAAGAGTGAAAGAGAGACACAGTGAGAGTGAGCGAGAGCGACCAAAAACCGAGGCGATTTTTTGATTAAAAAGATTCCGTGGGTGCTTTCTTTTTGATTTGTAAATCCTTTACATAATCAGCGCTCAGGCACTTGGTTTTAATTTATTTTGCTTTATTTATTTTTACAACTTTTATTTTTTTGTATAATTTTTTTTCTTTCTTTTTGTTGCAAGCACTCACACACACACACACACGCGGCACACTCGCACACTCGCACAACAAACGCTCGGCGATGATGTCCGAAAACGACTGACTGACGAGCAGCAAAAACTTCCGCGTTTGCCACACAGAAAAGACTAAAAAAAAAAAAAAAACAGAAAGAGGCAACACACAAAATAATGACGCTGCTACGGCTGCAAAGCGAAGGAAATCGAGCGATAAAACGCGACTTTAAAGATATAAATTTATGCGATTTGTATTTATATATATATATATATTTGTTTTTACAAAATTTATTTTTATGCTGCTTGCAAAATTCTTAATTTGTTGTAGCTTGTTTTGTGTGGTTTGGTTTAGCAAGAAGCCAAAGTGTAGATTGACTGACTGAGGGTAGGATTTTTTTTTGTTGCTGCTACTGCTGCTGGCTGCTTCTGCTTGGCGCGTTCATCGCCCAAAAAGAGAGCTCTGCCAGAAAGAGAGCAAGCGCAAGTTCATTTCTGCCACAGAGAGAGAGAGAGAGGGCCACGTGAGTGTGCAAAAATACAAGAAAAGCGAATTTCATGCTCTCGCGAAATAAGAAAATTTGTATATGGCTTTTCCGAAGCTCTTTGTTAATTCCCTCTATCCTATTCCAATTTCGATTAAATTTTGAGTTTTCTTTGCCGTCTAATTAGCTCTACCTTTCTCTCACTCTCTCCCATTCTCCCACTCTCCTGCTCTGGTGTATACACACATAAATATAGAATATAGATGGGCATGAATGGAGCATAAATAACACCTGCTCCATTCTCCCTACGCCTGCGCAAAGCCCAGGGAAAAACGTGCTGGCAAATATATATATAGCAAATACGAAGAAAAACATAAATTCATCGTTATCATCGGTAATAAGAGGAAGGGAGATGGGCAGTGAGTGCAGAAATGAACACTGCACAGAGCTCTCTCTCTCTCCCGATAGAGTGAGAGCTCTCTCCTCTCAGCTGTCCCAATTTTTCTTGTGGCTAAAATAATTACATCAATTTATAAATTATCAACGAGGCATATCCATTTGAAAGGTCCTTAGTCAAGGCTTTTTTCCTTCGGAAAACAGGCAATAGAAATGAAATTCCACAATGGAAAAGAACACTGTTTGTAGTTTATATTGCATGAAGGAGAATGAGCATGCCAACTGAAGAATTTCAATGACAAGGTAAATCAATGTCAGGCCAAGGAATTCAAAAGGCATTTCCCCCTGGTTTTTCCAAAGGGACATACTAAGGACAACCTAGCATTAATTGCTTATATGTGTGTGGGGTTTCTGCTCCTCCTCTTTATTTGCCATCATTCTGTGGCGTTCTGATTACAAGTGGAGCATGACCCACATACTTGAATAAACAAAGCATAAAAATCAACTATGCGAATATATACATATATACATATGTATATATATGTTCAGAACGAAAAAGCTCTGACGGAGTCCTAACAAAACAATTGAATTTGCTGCGTGCGGGTGTTGTCTGTGCTGGGAAAAATTAACTTGGGGAAATTGGAGCAAAGGGAAGAGGAAAAGGACGAACTTAGACAGATTCTGATCGTAAAAAGGAAACCCAATCAAAACTAAGGATTCCCGAGTTGATAAGAGAAAATAGGACAGTTGTGGCTGAAGTTTGGTTTGAATGGTCATAAAATAATTAAGACCGGGTTGGATAAAATGTATTAATTTACATAATTTATACAAGAAAATAATTTAAAATGTCCATTTTAAATGAAACATAAAAACAATATACACCTTGAACAATGGGGCGTATACGTAATGTGTTCTATGATATATTACGTATACGTCCTGTTGACTTTCTTTAATTTTACCTTAAATTATCTCTTAAACCTAGCTTCTAGAAAAGATTTGAGGATTTCCTAACTATTGCCATCCTTAATACCTTCTTTTCATCCTAAGATTATTAAGAACATTTAAAATTTTTGTCATTTTTTATAGCATACTTAGCAGAATATTGCCAGCAAAACACCGCCACTTGAAATATGCTATAAAAAATAAATATATTTATAATGACACACAACCATAAATCATCTAAGATTAAGTATAACCAATTTAGATAAGATTGTTCACACAAACAAAAATTTATAGATACAAATTATAAACAACCCACGCAAAGATTCTTGCAACATTTGGTACTCACTACAGATATATATTTATATATAGGCCAAAATATTATTATTAACATACCTGCAAATAAAAGAGAAAATAAATGGGTTAATAAACAATCAAGTCTCTAATTAATTTATAACAAATTTAATAAAATTAATTAGCCAGAAAATTATGTTATTATCACTCTCATGCAACAGTTCATAGATATTTTTAGCACTTTTAAGAGATTGAAGGTAACTCAATCAATGACATATCGTCAAAAAATTTGTGAGACTCAAGAAGTCTGTTTGATTCGGTAAACAACGAGTGATAAGATTAGAGGCTTAAAAAAACTGATTAGATGACGAAGCTTTCCTTTGTGCAGTTTCCATATACTGTAACTATATTGAAAACTACTTTATAGAGCTGTCTGGCAATCGAAAAGCATAAAGTAAACAAAACTGGTTGCCTGTAATTTTCCACACGGCAATGGGTGCAGTCAGTCCCCAGACCAGTTCTGTAAAAGGTCGCGACCTCGATGGTCACGATCAATTTTTAGCCACTTCTCAGTCTTTTACACATTTTTTGATTGTCAAAAAAAGCCATTGAGAAAAGATTCGATGGGTAGAATTGGCCTAGTCATAGTATTGATAACATAAATATGATTTATGTGCTCTACTTAAGTATAGGGAACTCGAAAGTGTGATCTATGGTTAGTTTATGGGGGAAATTAATAATTGGTATGTTAGGACTTTGAACCGGAAAGATTCTGAGGTGATTAGGAAAGATTCAGGAAAGCGAAAATATAGATTTCTATAGATAAAACAGGGGATATGACATTTAATTAAGGGTTGCAAATATTTAATAAAGATTTTTGAAATGATTTCTTGTTTAAAATTATTATATTGATATGAGAGTGAGCGCGATATTTTTCTAGACTTCTTAAATTTTACCTTTTCTTTTGATCCGATTCAGGTACAAATTTATATTTGCGAAATTACTCAAAATAAGGTAGATTCTTTAAAGTCAACAAAAATATTCTACTTTATAGAAGACAATAAATAAAAGATCAAACTATTGCTCCAGTTCTTGAAGCCTTATCTTCAACTGTACAAAAAACAGTCCAGCTCTCCAACACGTGTTCGCAGTTCCCCAACACAAAGGTAGACCCCAAAAGCTCACCTGAGAGAATTGAGGTTATAGATGATAACCCAATGGCAAAGTGATAAGAAGAGCCAACCATAACAAAGTAAACAGAATATCAACTATAAAGTGAGGTGAGGAAAGCAAAATCAACAAATCGCTGAGGCAAGGGGTCAATGAAATTGAAATGCAATTGTCAGAAGAATAAGCTTTCCAACAGCAAACTTGGGGGAATTGGGAGCCTCGAGAGGTAAGCAAGCTAAAGCCAGAGCCAAAGCTAAAGCTTGATGCGATCGAAAAAAAAAGCGGGAGAGATAAGAGAGAGAGAGAGGCAACACTCGAACCAAGAGAGATAGAGAGCAATACATATAAACAGAGCTAAAACCGGCAAACAAAGAGCCGAGGCGACAAACGAAGCAACGACGCCACAGCAGCAGCAGCAGCAACAACAGCAGCAGCAGCAACAACAGCAGCAACAACAGCAGCAGCAGCAACAGAAACACGAGCAACACCAACAGCAACACACAAAGCTGACAAACACGAGGAAAAAGGTTTCGACTCTTGCTCAGTGTGACGGCGAACGTCGTACCTGTTGTGTGTGTTATTTCCCCCAAGTTGTCAAACGCTTTTTATTTTTGGGAAACCGAAACCTCCCAAAGGCCCTCAAAACCAAAACCAAAACAAACGGAAAACGCAACAGTTGTCCATTCAGATCGTGGAAAAAGGTGGCCACCAGGAGAGCTTTTGCAAAATGTTTGAAGTCGCCTGCCTCATGTTCATCTGCCCTTGGCTCATACTCGTACTGCTCATGTTCATCGCCATGACTGTACTCTGAAAATGTGGCATAAGGAAAATCGAGACCAAAATCAAAGAGGCAGAAACTCAGGGGAAGAAAAAAAAAAAAAAAATGGGCACACAAATTGCAACATCGCTTGGCTGTGTGCCCAAATAATCATCGGAAATTAACACTTGGATTCTGCCTGCACTATCAACACCCCAAAATATTCCTATAAAAATGTGCTTTGTTTTTGTTCATTTCTGTTTTTTTGTTAACCGCACAAAAGTGTAATGTGATTTAAGTGTTATTGAAATACTGTATTATGTAAGAAACTGTACCTTGTTTGCAAATATAGTTTTAATTAGGTTCTAAGCTTTGTAATAAAATGTAAAAGAATAAGAAAATTATAGACGTTTTTTTAATCGGTGGGCCTGACTTATATATGTATAATTGTCTTGTTAACTTTAATTAATTTAGCCTCAGAAACCAGTTTACTGAGCGATTATCGCTGTTGTTGATACGCTCTGCTGGTTGCATACTAATCCAACTTGTTGTTTATAAACAATACAAAAAATGAGGCATTTAAAAAGAGGTTTAACATTAAAAGATATAAATAAATACAAGCTTACAATTATAAAATATATGGCTGTATATAATCTCTAGTTATTCAATGATTTTATTGGCTTTTGAATAATATACAAACTGATTTATGGTCATACATAATATTTATAAAATAAATAAATTGAAATTAATTCAATTATTTAAAGAAATTACACAACTCTTACTGATCGTTCTGTGTCGTAAATAAATGTCTCACCAACTCCTGTATATAAACATTTCCTTATCTACAACTTTTCTAGTATCTTTTGATGATAAGGCTAATTTGGGACATGACTTAAGGCACTTTATTCACACATTTCATGGCTTCTACAGTTGCACTTTAATAATAAATAAATAACTTTTCCCATTTCTAAAGTATTATAATGAACCTGATGAGGACATCATTAAAGTTCAGACAACTTCCTCGAATAAAAAATTATAATAACACTTCACAAGTACTTGTTGAAAAGTGAAAGCTTGTCACAAAAAAAAACGTAATAAGTGTAAAAACAATTACACGTGTAGTAAGTGTTTAAATATCCACTCATCAACATCAACAGCAGTGTTAAATTTAACTTTTATTTATTTAATAATGAATGAAAAGCAGTAGGAGTTGCTGCGTAAATCATGTCAATTAAACATATACAAAACGAAGGTTTAAATCAAACAAAAATAAAGCTGTTTTTTATCTGTGAACACTCCTTCTTTCTT